CTCCCAGAGTGGCGGGGAATAATAATAATAATAATGATAATAATAAAATTGACAGGGGGTGTTTTTCTAGGTGAGGGGGTGGGGACTGTAATAACAAAAAAATCAGCTCTATATCAACCGCTGTTTTGCAATGAGGAATTGCAAATAAGGAAGATCAAAAGGAGAATGTTTTTTGGGGGGGACTCTCTTCCTCTTCCTCCTCCTCCTCTCGTTCTTGCTCCTCTTCCTGGCAAAAGGGCTGCTGAGACCCCTTCTCTCTTGGGTGCCGGTGGGTGCTGTGACGTTGACGCTGCTGTGGCAAGTGCCTTTACTTAGCAGAGTGCATTCCCCTTTACACAGGAGGGGAGGGGAAAAAATTGAAACTTACACTTTCGTGCGTCCCTCCCGGCGCGACGCTGCCGCTGACGTCACGGGGCTGTAATGGTGGTGTGCCTCGAGATTTTTTTCATCAAACAAGTGTGCCTTTGCCCAAAAAAGGTTGGGAAACACTGTCCTAGACAACACTGGTGATTTTATATGGATAGATATAGACTGTGCTATATAGAGAACTATAATAGGCAAACCATCAAGCAAGACCAAAGTCAGAAAACATAAAAGGTGCATTGTGGGTCAGATCCATGGGAATAATAATAATAATAATAATAATAAAGCACACGGTTTTTGCCCAGCTAGAAGAGCAAACTGTATACCATGAAATTGAAGTTCTAAATAACATGATTAAGGTAAAGGTACCCCTACCCGTACGGGCCAGTCGTGTCCGACTCTGGGGTTGCGCGCCCATCTCGCTTAAGAGGCCGGGGGCCAGCGCTGTCCGCAGACACTTCCGGGTCACGTGGCCAGCGTGACAAGCTGCATCTGGCGAGCCAGCACCAGCGCAGCACACGGAAACGCCGTTTACCTTCCCGCTAGTAAGCGGTCCCTATTTATCTACTTGCACCCAGGGGTGCTTTCGAACTGCTAGGTTGGCAGGCGCTGGGACCGAGCAACGGGAGTGCACCCCGCCGCGGGGATTCGAACCGCCGACCTTTCGATCGGCAAGCCCTAGGCGCTGAGGCTTTAACCCACAGCGCCACCCGCGTCCCTAACATGATTAGAGGAGCCCAATAAGATTCACTGATAAGGATGGCACACTTTTAATAACTTAGAATCCAGCATTTTATGTGTGTTTTAAATTAGATTTTATGACACTTCCATTTTTACTTCAAAAACTTGATTTTGGATGAAATGTGACACATCTCCTTAACAGGGGAAATTCTTCAGAGAGGGAGTTTGATAAAATTTCATACTTGATCTTTGGGGTGAAAATATAGATTTATGAGGTAAAATTCTGAAAGAGGATGGTCTAATAGCCAGATATGGTATGTTTAAAGTCTGGAGATCAGGTTTATAAGCATATGCAACAGTGGCTGTCCCCGTTGCCCCCAGGGCAAAGCTAAAAACAATGGCTGGGGTTAATACAAGTTGACTGAAGAATGCGCATGGTGGCCTGTTATTGTGCACATTCACCAGAAAGGAAGAATAATGAGCACGTATACGAAGCAAAAATAGGGAATTGGACACATCAACACGCATAACTTCCAATTAATATTGAAAAGACGTGAGTGTTTCACACCTCAGTAAGTAAAGGTATACATTGCCCAAGAAAATAATAGACTGAAAAATCAAGCAATTTATGAAATGCCCCACATGAAATACCCAACATTTTAAGCTTGGCTAACATGGGAAATCAAAATTTATGCTGTTCTTTTGTGCACATTCTCCAGTCCAATGATTCAGCACAATGGTTGGTTTTATGCACATTCTTCAAGGCAAATCACATTAACCACAAGTGAGTGTGTGTTTGTGTGTGTAGCAAGCACATATCGACGTATCAGCCTTTTTTCTTTTTTGCCTCCACAGGGCTATTAAATTATACACCGTTTTTAAGAAGATGAGGTGATGACAGAATAGTAGACGTTAAATGCAGTAAGAAAGCCACAGGCTAAAATATCTTAATCTTATTTTCGATTAGTCCACTGCAAGCTCCTGCACAGAGCTCTTCTCCTATAGCACATATTTCAGCAAACTGAATTGCTGACAGATGTCAGTACAAAAAACCCACGCAAGAAACCCAGATATAAAAGATACTTATGGAAAGTCAGGCCCTGACATACGAAAAATATGGAACATAATGAATTTCTATGCTGACGCTTCCTTGGGATATTTTCTCTCCTTATAGCCACGAAGTATCTTTCAAATTAAGGTATCATGCCCAAGCTTCTTTTGCAAACAAGAGTTAGGCTAGGGGTGGGGAACCTCCAGCCCAAGGGCCAAATTTGGCCTGCCGGGCCTCCCCATTGTGCCCATGAGTTGTTTCGGGGGAGCCATGACCACCTCTGGGCCACGTAAAAGTGGGTCTTGGCTCAAAGGAGTTGCGTAGGCACTGCAAAACCTCTTGAACAGCTTCCCAAATGGCCACCATAACATCCTTCTGGACCATCTAGAGGGGCTGGGAGCTGGGGGCACTGCTATACGGTGGTTCCGCTCCTTTCTCCTGGGCCGTGTCCAGAAAGTGGTGTTGGGGGATGAGTGTTCAGACTCCTGGGCTCTCACTTGTGGGGTGCCTCAGGGTTCTGTCCTCTCCCCCATGCTTTTTAATATCTATATGAAGTCGCTGGGAGAGATCATCAGGGGGTTTGGGCTGGGTGTTCATCAGTATGCAGATGACACCCAACTCTACCTCTCCTTTAAATCAGAACCAGCGAAGGCGGTGAAGGTCCTGTGTGAGTGCCTGGAGGTGGTTGGAGGATGGATGGCGGCTAACAGATTGAGGTTGAATCCTGACAAGACAGAAGTACTGTTTTTGGGGGACAGGGGGCGGGCGGGTGTGGGAGATTCCCTGGTCCTGAAAGGAGTAACTGTGCCCCTAAAGGACCAGGTGCGCAGCCTGGGAGTCACAGCTGACCATGGAGGCGCAAGTCAATTCTGTGTCCAGGGCGGCTGTCTACCAGCTCCATCTGATGCGCAGCCTAAGACCCTACCTGCCCGCGGACTGTCTCGCCAGAGTGGTGCATGCTCTAGTTATCTCCTGCTTGGACTACTGCAATGCGCTCTACGTGGGGCTACCTTTGAAGGTGACCCGGAAACTGCAATTAATCTAGAATGCGGCAGCTAGACTGGTGACTGGGAGTGGCCGCCGGGACCACATAACACCAGGTCCTGAGAGATCTGCATTGGCTCCCAGTACGTTTCCGAGCACAATTCAAAGTGTTGGTGCTGACCTTTAAAGCCCTAAACGGCCTCGGTCCAGTATACCTGAAGGAGCGTCTCCACCCCCATCCTTCAGCCTGGACACTGAGATCCAGCGCCAAGGGCCTTCTGGCGGTTCCCTCATTGTGAGAAGTGAGGTTACAGGGAACCAGGCAGAGGGCCTTCTTGGTGGTGGCGCCCGCCCTGTGGAACACCCTCCCTTCAGATGTGAAGGAAATAAGCAGCTATCCTATCTTTAAAAGACATCTGAAGGCAGCCCTGTTCAGGGAAGTTTTTAATATTTAATGCTGTACTGTTTTTAACACTTGATTGGGAGCTGCCCAGAGTGGCTGGGGAAACTCAGCCAGATGGGCGGGGTATAAATAAATTATTATTATTATTAGCAGTAGTTGTTGGGAAGCACTGGGCAAAAAGGCTGAGCCAGTCAACCCACGCTATATATTCTATATAGGGTTGAAGAAAAGAGAATGTATGTTGCTGGGATCCTTCAAAATCAAGCATGTGGCCTGTGGCCCTCTGGGATGTTGCTGGACTAGAACTCCCACCATTCCTGGCCATTGGTCAGGATGACTGGGACTGCCACATCTGGAGAGCCACAGGTTCCCCATTCATGGGGACAGAATCCTCTATCACTTTCCCTGCAAATACCTCTTTGATGCTCAAAGACACAAGCGACAAAAATAATAGTCAATGGGGCTTCAATTACGCTGTTAAGTATAGATAGAGATTAAGGAGCTAAAAACAAAAAGGGCACCAAGTGCCTGCAAAGGAATGAAGAGGGCTTAAAAATAATTTATAAGTTGTGTGTCCTTGTTTCTCAATTTGATGCTTTCACATGGTTTTGTATGTTCTGTGATATTTTGTGCTGTTATTCTTATTGATGATAGTTTACACTTATCAGTTACAATAAAGAGTTACTAAACAGTTCAATTATTATTTGCTCATAGTTGATTTTACTGTTTACTATTATATTCTAATGGATTACTGAATATTGCTTTATTTGATATAAGTTGTTTATTTTAAAGTTACTGTGACTTTTTTTTGCATTGGATCAGATTGTTATTATGTGTTTGACCGTGGCTGTTTATTTTGTGTTTCTTCAGCTTGCAAACTGCCTTGTGTATACAAATTAAAAGTGAAATGAAATGAAATTTAAGCCTGTGGCCCTCTGAGATGTTGCTGGACTAGAACTCCCACCATTCCTGGCCATTGGACTGAAATTTAAATCTTATTTACCCTTTCTCGGAAGTAAGCTTCCGTGAACACAGATGGACCAGCTCGTTTAATAAAATATTTCCAAACTCACCTTTTGAATTAAAGGCAGCTACTTACTACCAGGTGTAAATGTGCAGAGGAAGCAGTTCTGAATTCATTTCAGAATTCATTCCCTGAATATAAATATGGAAGAGCACCACCTGCTGTAGACACTGAGAAGATTTTAGAACAAGACTTTCTCAACCATCTGTTCACACAGATACTAGAAATTAAATTGAAATGTCATTTGGAGGGGGTACAGTGTTAGGGAGGGTTCTTTGTAAGCCCCTTCAGTGATTGGCTGGCTGCACAGTTCCCCTGCATAGAGAATCTTAGCTGGCTTGTTCTCACAGCCAATCATGAGAGAGCAAGCCTCTCCTGCCAGTTTTGTCACCTCTGCCTTTTACCTGATGTCACAGATGATGTCACCTATGGGGACACATGCTGGACCTGATTAGGCCCATGGGCTGAAGGTTCCCCAGGAAAGAAATCTCAGTATGCAAGGAAAGAAGTCACACTGCAGTTAATAATGACCAAAAAAACTTTATTCTCCCCAATTCATGATTTTTGCTTTGGTGTGTCGCTGAAAGGCACGTTGTCCAGCAGCAGTTCTTTTCTTGGTACAAGCACTAGAAGAGAGAAAAGGGTTACCTGTAACAGTTCATATGTACTTTACAAAGAGAGATCAGCCGTTTGTCAAACTATAAAGGTAAAGGCACCCTGACCATTAGGTCCAGTCCTGGCCGACTCTGGGGTTGCGGCACTCATCTTGCTTTATTGGCCGAGGGAGCCGGCGTACAGCTTCCAGGTCATGTGGCCAGCATGACTAAGCCGCTTCTGGCAAACCAGAGCAGCGCACGGAAATGCCGTTTACCTTCCCGCCTAATTATCTACTTGCATTTTGACGTGCTTTCGAACTGCTAGGTTGGCAGGAGCAGGGACCGAGCAACGGGAGCTCACCCTGTTGCGGGGATTTGAACCGCCAACCTTCTGATCAGCAAACCCTAGTTTCTGTGGTTTAACCCACAGTGCCACCCGCGTCCCACAGCGCCACCCGCGTCCCACTATAGCAACTTTATTTTTCTTAATGGCATTTGCAGAGTGGATATATACCTATATCTTGTGTGTTAGAAGCATCCATACGTTTGCGCCACAGCAATAAGTATAATTAGTAAGGACTTGACCAACTTATTACTCTGGTAGTGTGCCAATTAACTGTGCCCAAAGAAAAACAAATTTTAGCATTACTGAACAAGTGCCTTGCATTTAAATCAGGCATAGGCAAACTCCGGCCCTCCAGATGTTGGGGACGACAATTCCCATCATCCCTAGCTAACAGGACCAGTGGTCAGGGATGATAGGAATTGTAGTCCTAAACATCTGGAGGGCCAGAGTTTGCCTATGCCTGATTTAAATCAAGTTCTCCATTATATAGGGAGGTTTGCTCAGTGGCGTAGCGTGGGGGATGCAGGGGGGGCCGGCCGCACCGGGCGCAACATCTGGGGCGCGCGCTCGCACTCGCAGCTCTCTGCCCCTAGGGCAGAGGGGGCGCAAATTACTTGCCTTGCCCCGGGTGCTGACAACCCACGCTATGCCACTGGGTTTGCTGCCAACTTATCTGCAGCTTTCTTAAATGGGGGGGGGGGGCAGGAGGAGGGCAAGAGAGAAAGGCAGCCAGTTTATTTTGCTTGACTGCGTTGTCCTTTATCTGCCCTTGTCTCTACTGTAGTTCTGACCATCTGGCACCTTAAGCACCCGCTCGAGAGCTGGTCTCTAGGCTATTTAACCTAATCTGACAAAGGCTGCTACCCTAATATACACCTCCTTTGTACCAGCATTTAGTCTAAGGGTAGCATGCACAAATCCAAAGGCCCAGACATTCCTGTTAGGACCAAGGGAATAGGGAAGGGGCTACAGTTCAGTAGCAAAGTTCATCACTGGCACACACAAGATCCCAGCTTCGTTTTTTGGAATCACCAGCAAAAGGAAAGGGTCTGTTATCATCATCATCAAACCTTTTATTGACATCACATACAAACATCCCAAACAAATCAATACAGAATTACCACTTCCCCAGTGGCACAAAACATTTGCTAAAAGAAAGGAGTCAGAACAGTCTATCGTCACATATCTAAGTCTCCAAGGAGACCTAGACGTCTGCAGTGTATTTCGATGACAAAAAACCAAATAGAGAAATTTAGCCACTAACTTGGTGAGCTCATGATCATTCCCCAGTAATAGAAAATGTATGACCTCCAACTCTGGTTTCCATTTGGGGATACAGAGTTGATCTAGAAATTGCTGACAGAGATCAGCATATAGTTTACAATTAAGAATCATATGTGTAAGGGTTCCCACCAGGTGGTCTTCACATGGGCAAGTTCTTTCTCCTTCCACCCTGCCTGAGAACCTTCCCCAAAGGAGGTTTGATGGATTTGAGTCAAAAGTGGGCACATTTGCAAACTGGAGAAACTTTTCTGGACGCCCACACACCCTGCAACCAAGCACACATCATAGTCTATTACGTTAACTGCAATATACTGCTTCTTTCAAACCTAATTTCAACGTAGGGAAGGGGATCTGAGTGCCAGGAAAGGCCTATGTGGGTGCATGTGGACCTATGTGGGCTATGCCGAAAGCTCCTGGAGTAAAAAAAAGGTAAAGGTAAAGGACCCCTGGACAGTTAAGTCTAGTCAAAGGCAACTACGGGGTTGCGGCGCTCATCTTGCTTTCAGGCCAAGGGAGCCGGCGTTTGTCCACAGAGAGCAATCCAGGTCATGTGGCCAGCAAGATTAAACCACTTCTGGTGCAACGGAGCACCGTGATAGAAACCAGAGCATGCAGACACATGGTTTACCTTCCTGCTGCAGTGGTACCTATTTATCTACTTGCGTTGGTATGCTTCCAAACTGCTAGGTTGGCAGGAGCTGGGACAGAGCAACGGGAGCTTACCTTGTGGCGGGGATTCAAACCGCCAACCTTCTGATCGACAAGCCCAAGAGGCTCCATGGTTTAAATCACAGCGCCAGCCGCATCCTAATAGCTCCTGGAGCAGACACTATGAGACTAGGTGGACCTGACTCTGCAGAAGACAGTTTATGAAGTTTTATGTTCCACGTGGGCCGTGACAGACAGACATCCATAGCTAGACCGGTCACGATGGATTCCCACTTTTGTAGAAACGCAAGTGCCCTTTCTGAAGTCCAGCTTACATGGAGGAGAGAACGTCTTCAGAAAGGAAACTGCATGCAGCAAAATGGTGAACCAGATGGATTTCAGGATACTTAATCATTACAGCATGGGAGGTATCCTAATCTAGCACCACCACTGTATATTCGGTCCCCCAAACAGGGCCATCGGCAAGAACACTTTTAAAGGTATAGATGTCACGATGCGAGAAGAAAAATTTGCTATGGTTGTGGGCCTAGAGGTGCAGCATTGCTTTTTTACGCAACAAACAAATGTATCCCATACATGGAAATAAGAGGCATAAGGCAGCTGCCTATGCTCTGATATTAAAGATTCCGGTTCTATATGGAAGACTCTTTGCATTCTTGCAACGTGGCATGACCCATTTGCCAAGCTGAGTTGCAGCCTCCCTGCATCTTCAGTCCAGGTTTTTGTCTTGCTTTTTAAAGGGATGTGGGGGAAGCCCAAGATGGACAAGAGGAATAATGGGTTGTAGCGAGCCTTATATGGGAGTAGGCAGTTGGGAGGGGTGTAGAAATGAAGCAAACGTCGCCAGTTGCCAAGGAGATGGGAGAGAAGGCAGGGAAGAGGGAAAAATGTCAGAGCAGGGAGTTATGAAAGGCGGGTGGGAAGCAATGAGAGGTTTGGAGAAACGCGACTTCTTCAAGTGATTCTTGCTTACTCGTGTTATACAGGGCTCTTTTCTTCTCCCTTGCTGATCCAAAATACTCTGATCCCATTTTCAGCAAAGGAAATCCTATTCCTGTTTTTGAGAAAAGGCCAGTTTGTGTACTGTTTTTTTTTAAGGGCGTTTGTTGATCTGAATCCCACTCTCTCTTCAAGAATCCCAGAACAGTGTTTTATCCTTGCCACTGCCCAGTGAGGTAAGCTCAGGTTGTGATCAGCGGCAGAGGCTTCTAAAACATTTCAGGGAGTTTCAGGACTGAACAGAGTCCTGGACTTTCTCCACATTTATGTCCAATATGCTAAATGGCTGCTGACTGACATATCCATTTAGTTGATATTGTGAAGAACTGGGCAAGTAGGGCCACTTAGAAAGCCACAATCAAAAACCAAAAAGACAAAAAGCTCACTAGCAGAGTGAGTACCTCGAGTGTTGATTTATTTCATACATTTATATCCATGACAAAATTCAAGACTGGGTGTGCAGGGGTCCTGAGCAGTCTCCCATCCCCAACACAGACCAGCCCTAGTTCACTGAGTTTCTGTGAGGCTGCCATGCTGCCACAATTGCACAGCATACATGTCCCTACACATGTGTGCAAGCTATTTCTCAGTGGTCAGGGAATAAACTCTTTTGAAACATAAATGGCTTAGGGGTGAGGAATTTAGCTTAAAAGTGCCTGGTGGGAAACTCTTCTCCACTATCATTCTGGTTCTAGGAGGATAGGGCTGATGATGGTCGAAGCAGAGAGGGGCTGGAAACAAATCCCCAAATACAGAAAAGCATGACTAATTTTGAGTTAATCTGGATAGCAGAATGCCCTAGGGCAACACCAACTGATAATGTATACTTTCTCTTTCTCTCTCCCAAACCAGAGCGCTGTGGTCTAAACCACTGAGCCTCTTGGGCTTGCCGATCAGAAGGTTGGCGGTTCGAATCCCTGCGACGGGGTGAGCTCCGGTTGCTCTGTCCCTGCTCCTGCCAACCTAGAGGTTTGAAAGCACACCAGTGCAAGTAGATAAATAGGTACCACTGCGGAGGGAAGGTAAACAACGTTTCCTTGTGCCCTGGTTTACGTCATGGTGTCCCGTTGGGCCAGAAGTGGTTTAGTCATGCTGGCCACATGACCCAGAAAGCTGTCTGTGGACAAACGCCGACTCCCTCGGCCTGAAAGCGAGATGAGTGCAGCAACCCTATAGTTGCCTTTGACTGGACTTAACCATCCAGGCGTCCTTTCCCTTTTACCTTTATACTGGTGTGACAGTGAGCTGACTTGCATCTACTCAGTAAGACTTGCAATTACAAAGTGGGAGTTCGAAGCATGAGGAGAGGCTCAGTTTTGCTCTCTTGGCCTCTATTAGTTCGAAACGCTATTACCTGCCGGTGCAAAGGTGTTGTTGAAAGTCTGCAGGTGAAGAACTGAAAACCAAATTTGTGTCGATTTGGCTTAAAGTTGATAGGGCTGTTTCCTTGTAAACATGATAATTTCTGTTTTGAAATGCAATGTGTATTTACATATCTCACGTTCACTGTAAAGCAGAGGTTGGAAATCTACAGCAAATACATGCATTCTTCTTTTATATACGAGTTTTTGATATGTCGTTCAAATGAATGTAACATATTGGGTAGCATCCTATGTTGTCCACCCACCTGTGCAATCGGAACACCAGTTTCTCTTCAACCCCCGAGTGCCCTGCACACTCCTCAGATCTGTTCCAGAGGGCCCTCCAATCCTCTAGAGCAGATTTTGGGGTAAAATAGGGCAAGGAGGACAAACCTTGTTGTGTGAGTGAACACCTGCTTGAGCTACCTTGGATCTGATCCACTGTTAGATTAAGATATTAGTGGGAAAAGTATAACAGCTGTCAATATCAAGGAAAGCAGCAATGCCTTACCCCAGATAAAAAAATAGATAAATTGAAAAATACATATATACAGTGGTACCTTGGTTCTCAAATGCCTTGGTACTCAAACAACTTGGAACCCAAACACTGCCAACCCAGAAGTAAGTTTTCCGGTTTGTGAACTTTTTTTGGAAGTCGAACGTGCTCCGTTTTGAGTGCCACACTTCTGTTTTGAGTGTTATGCTGAGGTCTGTCTGTTTTTGCTATTTATTTTGAGGTCTGTTTTTGTTTTGCGGCTCATTGTTTTTGTTTTTGTGACTGTGTGGAACCCAGTTCAGCTACTTATTGACTGATTGATTGTGTGATTGCAGTACATTATTTATTGCTTTCATTTTATGGATCAATGGTCTTGTTAGATAATAAAATTCACGTTAAATTGTTGTTTTAGGGTTGTTTTTAAAAGTCTGGAATGGATTAATTTTAGATTTTAGAAACCTTGATTTTAGAAAGCTTTGGTTTTGGAACGAACTTGTAAAATGGATTAAGTTTGAGAACTAAGATACCACTGTACAAACTACGTAAAGAAGAGCAATTACAGACAGAACCAAGAAAACCCAAGTGCTCTTCCTGTGGAAGTAGAAGATAATTTCAAAGTTATTTTGGTAGTTCTCCCAAGATCTACTGCTTCTTTTAAACGTTATTCAGAATCTCACTAAATTTCATAACCAGCATTGTTTTTCTGAGCATTTAATGGTACCGCTTGCTCATTCCAAACAAACCAGGCACAAATGCTGAAGATAATCTTATAATAGAAGTAAACAACAGTTAAACCTGAAACCTGGTTTCATCATTTGAAAGGTTAGCAAAATTCTGAATGCATTTAATGCTATGTACCCAAGAGGAAGTAGGAGTGTTCGGTGTTAAAGCCGACATGAAGCATTTACAACTTTCCAACTTAAAATATTATTTACTTACATACTTGGTTGGAATCCACATGAACACCTTGAAGGACAGATGTTCTGAGTATAAATTCTACATCTGAACCTATTTTCACAAGCTGTTCATAAAAGGGGAGGGGAAAAATAGAACTGATTTGAATACCACAGCATTATTTTTGGAAGACATCACCGATGCTTGTTGAGAACAAAGTACCAAATCACTTATAATTCTACAGCAACTTTCATCTCTTAAACTTTCAAAAGAGGACTAACGAAAGGACTATTGTTAGATTTCAAATGTCAATAAAAGGAATACTGATTTTCCAGAATTGGCAACAGACTTTCAGGCAGCTCCACATTTGGGAACAATAAATCATAACATCCATTTCAGATTAGACAAAAAGGCCCACTTCCAATTAATGCCCTGCATAATCTGCTAGGATTTCCACATTTTTTAAAAAATAGCAGCTCTCTGTAACGGTCATGCAATATATAATACACACAGAGGCATTTTTTAAAGAGTGCACATAACTTAAATTTTATAAAGTTATCCATGTACAGGAACTTGTAAAGCAGTACAGTGGTACCTCCGGTTGCGGACCGGATCCATTCCGGAGGTCCGGTCGGATCCTGAGGTTTCCGCAACCTGAGAACCACTTCTGCGCATGCAAGCACAGCGAAACCCGGTAAAATACTTCTGGGCTTGCTGTGCACGCATCCCAAAGTTTATGTAACCAGAGGGTTACATAAACGGAGGTACAACTGTACAGCCCTCACTTACTAATAGAAAAACAAGCCAACCACATCACACTGTGTGTAAGATGCAGTTACAAAACAACTCCCCCAAAAAAGAACCTTCAGGAATGCGACTCTTAAGAGCTCTTCTTTCCGAATTCCCATACTTGGTGTACATTTATAAATGGAAGCCTTTGTAAAAAAATAATTCAGTGAATGGGAAAACTTTCCTGAAAGGGAACGGCAAAGACTTATTCACTCGCCCTCTGCAGGTGGCAAAACAGAACACCTATGGTTAATGTTTCAATATAATTCAGCTCATAACTGAAGTAGTAAGTTATTTAGAAATGTGTTTTGTGACCCAAAGAAGAGTTTGTAAGTGATTTAGCTTTGTTTTTTGGTTCAGCTGTCCCTTGCTCCCGTAGCAAGGAACAAGACACACAGGCATCAGCAGTGGCAGGGGAAAAAGGAAAGAGTTCCAACATACTAGTGTATCCCCTAGTGGTGGCAAAAATAAAGTTTTATGAAGTTGCTGAGAATTATCTTCTAGAAATCCCCCAAATTATAATTTGTGCATTAAAGAGCTTGGAAATGGAGAGGTGGTACCTGTGACAGTTAAGGATTTCTATTAAAGTACCTCAGCTATTTTTTCAGAAGAAGTCTCATCTTTATTATTTTTGAATTCTTCATTTATCTTAAGTCTCGCAGCTGGATAAAGGGGGGAAAAAGAGAAATGTTAATTTCTCTACATTTTGTCCTTTACGGATTCTACTTTTATCTGCTAACAATATGTAAACCTGTGATATACCATCGCAGTCGCAGACTTGATTCCACAAAAACCTCACGTAAAAATCCATAATTCTGTTACCAGAGTCATATTTGCATGCAGTAGGATTGGGGGTAAAATCTAGTTCATTTCCCCAACAAATGATAATACAGGATACCACGATGTGTTTGTTTCAAGAAACTCAGATGCTGCTCTTCAGTGTACAGGTTTAAATCTAGCTACAATTTCCGCTACATGATGCAGTTCATGCAACTATAACCAACCAAATTCAATCAGTCTTTGTAGAATGCACCGGTTTAAGAAGAATATGCTATTTTGGTTCTATCTCGCATCATTTTAAATGTGTAATAAAATTGCTAGGGACAAGAACTGTGTGTCAATTGTCAGTCAGACATCATCATGCAAATATACAGCAGTATGCTAATACACGTGAAACTCGGAAAATTAGAATATTGTGGAAAAGTTCATTTATTTCAGTAATTCAACTTAAAAGGCGACACTAATATATGAGATAGACTCATGACAAGCAAAGCGGGATATGTCAAGCCTTTATTTGTTATAATTGTGATGATCATGGCGTACAGCTGATGAAAACCCCAAATTAACAATCTCAGAAAATTAGAGTATTAAATGAAATCAGCAAAACAAGGACTGCAAATAGAGCAATATTGGACCTCTGAGAAGTAGAAGCATGCACATGTGCTCAGTACTTGGTTTGGGCCCCTTTTGCATCAATTACTGCCTCAATGCGGCGTGGCACGGATGCTATCAGCCTGTGGCACTGCTGAGGTGTTATCAACACAGACTGTGGAAACTTCACATTGGACTTCAAGCATCTGGCATTGTATGCCTCCCCATTCTTCCTCCAGACCATCTTCCAAATAAGATACAAAAGCTGCTCTCATCAGAAAAGAGATTTGGGGTTTTCATCAGTTTCACCTGTATACCACTATCTCTTATGGTATTGTTGTCAACTGAAAAAAAAGAATATTTTGCAACAATACTGCAAGATGCTTTTGGTAGGCAAGGCTTCAGAAGAAAACAGTCCTGCATATATGTTAGAGTCAGTCACATTGCTTCATTACATGGCAGTACATACTATATTAAAATCATGCTATAGTAATAACGTGACCATCAGTTATTCTAGTTCAGTGTTTTCTTCATTCACTGGAAGGGGCTCCCTAGGGTTTCAGAAGGGACATTTCCAGTCCTATCAGGATATGTTGGGGATTGAACTTGGACCCTTATGCACGCAAAGCAGATGGTCTACTCCTGAGCTCTAGCCCAGTGTAAGAAAGTTTGTGTCTCACATGTCCCTAGTTCCTCAGCCAGGTAAATAGTTTGGTGTATGTATAGCTGGCCTAAATTATTCCATTAATACTGTAACAACTTATATTCCATGCTTTTGAATTATGGCGTTGGAGGAAACTCTTGAGAGTCCCGTGGACTGCAAGAAGATCAAACCTCTCCATTCTTAAGGAAATCAGCCCTGAGTGCTCACTGGAAGGACAGATCCTGAAGCTGAGACTCCAATACTTTGGCCACCTCATGAGAAGAGAAGACTCCCTGGAAAAGACCCTGATGTTGGGAAAGATGGAGGGCACAAGGAGAAGGGGAGGACAGAGGACGAGATGGTTGGACAGTGTTCTCGAAGCTACCAGAATGAGTCTGACCAAACTGTAGGAGGCAGTGGAAGACAGGAGTGCCTGGTGTGCTCTGGTCCATGGGGTCACGAAGAGTCGGACACGACTAAACAACATATATTCCCATGTATTTAAATGTATTTCATTCAAATAAGCTTCCCTCCTGTTATTCACACCATGTATCAGCTACGTGGAAGTCCAAAGGGAAGGAATACTGCGGCTAACCTCAAGCTGCATCAGACAGTTTGTCACATAAGAAATGGCCTCAAGACCAGTCTTGTAATTCTACTTGCCAATGGCGGTAATAAATTGCATGTTGACAAGTGGGTTGTTGAGGAGAGTGACACAGCACTCAGTCCCTCCCCTGAATCTAGCATGGAACCAGGCAGAGGGCCTTCTCGGTAGTGGCGCCCACCCTGTGGAACACCCTCCCATCAGATGTCAAGGAAATAAGCAACTATCTGACTTGAAGGCAGCCCTGTTTAGGGAAGTTTTTAATGTTTGATGTATTTATCGTGTTTTTAATATTCTATTGGGAGCTGCCCAGAGTGGCTGGGGAAACCCGGCCAGATGGGCGGGGTATATATAATAAATTATTATTAATTATTATTATTATTATTATTTAGAAATCGAAAAAGGTGCCCGAGAATGGAAGCCCCCTCCTCCAGCCTCTAACAAACTATTATAAATTTTGAAAGGCCAATGACTTTTGCAGGGTTAGTTACAAATCTATTAGTCTGGCAAACACCCCAAGAAAGCAAACTTCTAGAGAGTAGTCATGTAGTAAACCCTGCAAAAGCATATACCACAATGAAGTCAATAAGGTGCCCAAAGACAGCTCTTGGTGCCAAGACAACAAAGATTTTATTTACCTTCTAGGGCTCTAGTATCATTTTTGAAAACGTGTTGTCTCGTTCTGTGCAAAGTTTTGAAAAGCTTCAAGACCTGAAAATGCAACAGAATATTGTGGTTTTTGTTTTTCATTGTCACCAGCAGGAGACTATTCACTTTACATTGCTAAATAAGTACCATATACCTTTGTCAAGTATGGAGACAGGTGTGTGTGTGTGTTTGCAGGACGTAGGTAGCTAAAGAAGAAAAATAACAACTTCCACTTTTTTTCAAACATGCAAGATCAGTGATGGTGCTGTTTCTTGCCACTCTTCCTCACAGTAACAACACGGACACCTAACAGTGCAGTACAATATGTGCTACTTGGGTAATAAATGCCCACAGGCAGCACAATAGTGCGTACTTCTGCACAGTAAAAATGCATTTCCATCTAAGAGGCCATCAGCAGAAAGTACGTTTCCGAGCACAATTCAAAGTGCTTGGTGCTGACCTTTAAAGCCCTAAACGGCCTTGGTCCTGTATACCTGAAGGAGCGTCTCCACCCCCATCATTCAGCCCAGACACTGAGGTCCAGCACCGAGGGCCTTTTGGCAGTTCCCTCACTGCAAGAAGTGAGGTTCCAGGGAACCAGGCAGAGAGCCTTCTCGGTGGTGGCACCTGCCCTGTGGAACACCCTCCCATCAGATGTCAAGGAAATAAACAACTATTTGACTTTTAAAAGACAACTGTTTAGGGAAGTTTGCCCTGTTTAGGGAAGTTTTTAATGTCTGATGCTGTATTTTTTTTAATGTTCAGTTGGAAGCCGCCCAGAGTGGCTGGGGAAACCCAGCCAGATGGGTGGGGTATAAACAATAAATTATTATTATTAGTGTAAAACCAAACAAAAACAAAAACAAAAACAAAACCCACACACATGAAGAGCCCTTTTGGATCAGATCAAGGGCCTAACCAGGGCCTAGCACTCTGTTCTGATGGCAGCGAACCAGACACCTGCAGGAAGCCCGCAAGCAAAAAGCTGAGCGCAGCATCGCTCTTCCCATCCACGATTCTCACGGGTAGGGTTGCCACCTTTATTTTGGCAAAATACAGGACAGGATGGGGCGGGGTGGTTGGGGGCGATTTCCACCCCCACCCCCAAATCTGGTGCTGAAGTAACATCAAAGCAATCCATTACAATCTATTGCTGCCTAACCCTCCAGAACTTGTCACACATGCATGTGCATGCACACACATACCTACGAAATTGTAAATCTGTCTGTGCTTGGCTACTCAGAGCTTAAATACATGACCTTTCACACACCTTTCAAACACATGTGTTTGGGGGGGATCCCTAACTTGGCAGAGAGAGAGAAGAGAGAGAGAGAAGATCTGGAATACAGGACAACCTGTATCAATACAGGATGTAACATTTTACATTGAAATACGGGACAATCCTGTATTATACAGGACATGTAGCAACCCTAGTTACTTCGTTGACACATGCTCAGATGGCAGGATGGTGTGTACGTCTCCACTTTTTGCACATTAAAATTGCTTTCCCAAAGGGCAGCCTGCGATTCCCAACAACTTACATCCCTGGCCATGGGTTGGGGTGCCCTCCCCCAATCAAGCAAATAAAATACAAATTCTTAACTAACGGTAGAAATTGTGGAAAGATTTTGACAGATTTTTCTGAGCACTTGGGGTCAAAAGAAAGTAATTAATTTTTTTTATACTTTTCAAGTTTATACATTTCACTAATTTTACAATCATTTTGACATTTCAAAGCTTGACTTCCTTCTCCCTCTTTCTGCAGTTCCAAGCTGCAGGTTATTACAATAATAAAAAAAGAAAGTAATTTAAAACCACCGATCGTTGAGACATTTCATTCCGAATCTGCAGGACAGAGGCAGATAGAGGTGGGGGTCCCCAACATAAATCCTGGCTACACCCATGTCCATTGCTAGGGATGCCAACTTGAATAAAAAAAATTGGGGGGGGGGAGGTAAGCCCCGCCCCACATGATCAATCACATGGCACACCCTTTGGGAATTCCCACCAACTATTTTTGGGGGGGTTAGTCCCCTCAAATATATATATTTTTTGGGGGGTAGCCCCCAAAAATATATATATGGCTATATGGGGGGTGGAGAGACCTCTGCCCCCCAGCTCCCAATGGGACTCCCACTCCCAGCTCTGCAAGGCTCTCAAACCAGCCCCCCACCTCACTCTAAGCAATGCAATTGGGTGAGTGGGCTACCAAGTTGGGGAGGGGGCGGTCATGCGACAGGTCACGTGATCGCAGAGGGGGCATATTTACCTCCCGGCTTCTCATCGCAAGAGCAGCAGCAGCAGCAGCAGCAAACAGGCGCAGCAGCCAACGCTTTAAAGGCGGAGGCGAAGCCACGCCCACTCACGCACGTTGCAGCTTCCCCGCCAGCCAATAGGAAGCGCCTCCCCTTGAGGACGGCCCCCTACCCTCCGATCCTCTTCCAAGCGGCTGCGCGCGGCGCAGGAGCCAGAGAGCTAGAAAAAATAGACTGACCGGCGCTGCCTCGAATTGCGGGAATCCCTGGAGACTTAGGGTGGGGTTGGTTTGCTTTTTTATTTTTGAAACCGCGTTTGGTTGATGTACTGTACAAGGTAGAAGTTGTTGCCAGCGGCCTTTTGGTGCTTAGGAGGATCAGACCTCCGGAAACATCAGCATGGCTCTAGGTCCTGCTTTCCAGAGGGCATCGGTCCTCTGCTTTAAGGTGACTTCTATTTGCAGAGCTTTCAGACAGTAACCTAAACTTAAAGCACCGTCAGAAGGGAGAGCAGGGGCCTCGGAGTTGCCGGTCAGCACCTGGACAGCAGCCCCACAACGAGTCACACAGTCACCCAAAGAGATGGGTTGCATTTAAAAATAATTATTATTTCTACACTTACATATGTGCTACCCTATGCAGACTTTATTGTCTTCCTTTTTTGTGATGCTCACCCCAGGGTAGACGCAGCCTGCAACCAAAGATAAGCCCTGTCTTTAGCTAACTGCTTCTGGCTTGTGCACACATTATTGGCTCTAAAATGCAGCCTGGAGGAGCTCGTTCTTTTTTCTCAACTTGCCTTGAAGATTATTTGAATGAAGCAGAAACCAGTGGGGTCCCTTTTCCATAGATAAGCATTACTCCCTATTGGAGGAATAGCCAGGCCCCTTTCCCCAGTCCCAAAATCAGAATAGGGGTAGATGTTTCATGGGGACCACGGCGTAGGGCAACATACATTTGCCTCCCATAGCCGTCGTCTCCGTTTCGACTGAGGCGCCTTTGCAAAGTGGCAACATCTATTTAGAAACAGTCCTATTTGGAAAGCGAAGGGTTAAAGCCATAGAGCTGGGCGCTAGAAGGGGGGAGAACGAACCACAGAGAAGAAAAGGGCTAGAGCGATCAATCAGGACCTCGGCGCCCTTATCGGCTCGTGGCTCCTTTATCCCCGCCCCTTTCCCGCGAGCGCCCGTCCTGATTGACGCGTAGTTAGTAAACGGCGCGAAAGGCGGGGAGAAAGTTAACGGGCGGGAGGGCGAGCCAATAAGGCCCCGGAATGACTCTTAGCGAGTGGTCGGCTAACCTCGTGAAGGTCTATCATTGGTTGGATGGAACCGAGGGGGTGGGGCCGGGATGCGGAAGGCGGGGCGAGCGAGCGAGAGGGTCGCGTGAGGCGGCGGTTCGCGATGGCTGACGAGATCAGCAAAGCGCAGGTGGCGCAGCCGGGAGGGGACACCATCTTCGGGAAGATCATCCGCAAAGAGATCCCGGCGAAGATCATCTTCGAGGACGAGAAGGTGAGGAGGAGGGCGGCGGGCTGAGCGGAGACCCCGGCGGGGCCTGGCAGCACCGCGAACGGCCGGCGGCTGAGAGAGACCAAAGGCCCGCCCTCGAAGCTGGGGGACGGCGGCTCTGGCTGCGGTGTTCGAAACTCAGCTATATAAAAGCTGGGCGCCAAAAGGCTCCTTCAACCAAGGTCTCAGGTTTAATGGAATGGTTAGCAGAAAAAGAGGTGGTACAGTGGTACCTCGGGTTACAGACGCTTCAGGTTACAGACTCCGCTAACCCAGAAATATTACCTCGGGTTAAGAACTTTGCTTCAGGATGAGAACAGAAATCGTGCGGCGGCAGCGGAGGCCCCATTAGCTAAAGTGGCACCTCAGGTTAAGAACAGTTTCATGTCAAGAACGGACCTCCGGAACGAATTAAGTACTTAACCCAAGGTACCACTGTATTAAAATGTGCAATTAAGAAAGTTTTCCTGTTTTTATAAAGGTAAAGGGACCCCTGACCATTAGGTCCAGTCCTGGCCGACTCTGGGGTTGCGGCGCTCATCTCGCTTTATTGGCCAAGGGAGCCGGCATACAGCATGTGGCCAGCATGACTAAGCCACTTCTGGAGAACCAGAGCAGCGGACGGAAACGCCGTTTACCTTCCCTCTGGAGTGGTACCTATTTATCTACTTGCACTTTGACGTGCTTTTGAATTGCTAGTTTGGCAGGTGCAGGGACTGAGCAACGGGAGCTCACCCCATCGCAGGGATTCGAACCGCTGACCTTTGATCAGCAAGTCCTAGGCTCTGTGGTTTAACCCACAGCGCCACCCATGTTCCTTTATGTTTTTATATATGCTGGGGAGGGACACGGGTGCGCTGTGGGTTAAACCACAGAGCCTAGGACTTGCTGTTCAGAAGGTCGGCAGTTCGAATCCCCGTGATGGGGTGAGCTCCCGTTGTTCGGTCCCTGCTCCTGCCAACCGAAAGCACATCAAGCACAAGTAGATAAATAGATACTGTTCTGGACGGAAGGTAAACGGCGTTTCCGTGCGCTGCTCTGGTTCGCCAGAAGCGGCTCAGTCATGCTGGCCACATGACCCGGAAGCTCTCTGCGGACAAACGCCAGCTCCCTCGGCCTATAGAGCGAGATGAGCGCGCAACCCCAGAGTTGGTCACGACTGGACCTAATGGTCAGGGGTCCCTTTACCTTTACCTTTATTTATATTCCGCCCATCTGGCTGGGCTTCCCCAGCCACTCTGGGCAGCTTCCATCAAAATATTAAAATACACTAATGCATCAAATATTGAAAGCTTCCCTAAACAGGGCTGCCTTCAGATGTCTTCTAAAAAGTCTGGTAGTTGTTCTCTTTGACATCTGGTGAGAGGGCGTTCCACAGGGCAGGTGCCACTACTGAGAACGCCCTCTGCCTGGTTCCCTGTAACTTGGCTTCTCACAGTGAGGGAACCGCTATGTAGTAATTTATGGACCTAATAGTTATCTAAAGCTATTTGCACATAACAAAATAGAAGGCCACACAACACAAAACACTGTTACTTTATGTAGGTTTTATTTCTTTTTTATCATATTTTTGAAATGTACATCCAGGTTTTTTTCTTTTAAATTTTTTTGGGGGTCCCAAGAGAGTGGGGCCCTAAGCTATAGCTTGTTTAGCTTATACGTAAATCGGGCACTGAATAAACCACAGCAACAATAATAATTGCATGCCAGAAAAGAGGAGAGTTAAATGAAACTCACTTTCATCTGCTGAAATGTGAGAACTAATCTCTGCAACCTGAGTTGTGAATCTTAAAATTGATGCAGTTGATCCAGAGTGGCTAGAGCAGCCCAGTCAGATGAGCGATGTACAAATGAACAACAACAATAATAATTGCATGCAGGAAGAGAGGAGAGTTAAATAAAACTCACTTTCAACAACAGCAGCAATAATAATTGCAAGCCAGAAAAGGAGTGTTACATAAAATTCTCTTTCATCTGCTGAGATGGGACAATTCATCTCTGCAATCTGAGTCAGGTTACAATTGATGCAGTTGTCATAGCCACGTGAAATTGATTTGAAATGATTAATAGCGAGATGGTATTAAAATGTGTATTATGTGGCTCAGAATGGTGGATTGCATGATGTTTTATTACCCTTGTGCAAAGTTAACATGGGATGGGAGATGGATACGTTGATATTAAAATCTCCCTGGCAATGGCGTGAAAGGTTTGAACAACGCCAACATTCCAGCAAGAATAATAAAATAGGGAAACGTCTACTACACATTTCTTCAGTGCTTAGGTTAACATTTTGAAGCATATTCTCCTCTTTCAATCTTTTGCATCATAAACTAACAGCAAATAATGTGATGCTTGAAAAAGGAAAATAAGTGTTGATGTAACTGTTTTTGAATCCACAGTATCTTAAATTATTAGTTTGACTAGGAGGACACATGGCAGTTACATAGCTACCCTGAAATCTGAAAACGCAACTAGATGAGTCTGAAAAAATCTGCCCCGGAAATGTGTGTCAGCCTTGGGCAGATATTGCCCAGCCCTCGCTGATACTCACCACGAAGTTGTTACAGTAAGTGCCACACTTTTAACAATTGGAAAAAGTGCCAGTTCTGAGTACCCTTGGGTACCCCCAGAAAAAGCACTGAGAGTTAGGATCTCCATCCTTGCCAGCTGTAATAGTAATAAATAATGATGTGAAACTAGAAACCAGAGCTACATTTAGCCTACAGTATTTCTGGAGATCAACTGCTTATGTCCTCATTTAAGATGCCAAGTCTGTTCTGCCTTGCAAAGAGACTCCAGTCCCATATACAGTGGTACCTTGGTTTACAACCATAATCTGTTCTGGAGGTCCGTTTGTAAACCAAAACAGGTTGTAACCCAAGGCGCGCTTTTGCCAATGGGGCCTCCAAAAAAAAAATTCGTTCGTAATCCAAAAAAAATGGGTTGCAATCCAAAAAAAATTGCAAGCTGAGACATGCACTTCCGGGTTTGACGTGTTTGTAATCCAAAACGTATGAAAACCAAGATGTATGCAGACTAAGGTACCACTGTAATGAGCTCTAGAGACTCTGTAAAACTGTGTTCTCGTAAAAAAATAGTTTCTAGTTATGGGAAGAATTAAAATTGCTTGAAAAAAATGCTTGCATGTGTCTTATCCTTGGCTTTTAAAAGAATGGTGTCTAAAAAAATTGATCCTCTCTCTTTCTCTTCCCTCTCCCCTGCAGTGCCTTGCATTCCACGATGTTTCCCCACAAGCTCCAACCCATTTCCTAGTAGTTCCGAAGAAGCCTATTGCTCAAATATCTCAAGCGCAAGATTCTGATGAAGCTGTAAGTATCGCACAAAGGCTTTTAAGTGGTGTTCTGCTTTTTGACTTTTCAGTAAAGCTAAGAATAAATGCTACTCTTATCTCGCTTCCCATTACAAGCTTTCCAAACAAATCCTAAAACCATTCTGTTGCATGCCTCAAACCTTTTTTGCTCTTGTGTTGCGTATAAGAACCACAACAGAGGTTGCGTCTTCCTGGTGCTCTGTGGACTATAGTTTGCTCTATTTTTTTATTTGCTTGCATTTCTATCCTGCAATGCTTCCATTGCAGAAATTAGGTAGTGGATTAATTTCTGATGTTACCATCAGAATTACCATACAGTGGTGCCCCGCAAGATGAATGCCTTGCAAGACGAAAAACTCGCTAGACGAAAGGATTTTTCGGTTTTGCGTTGCTTCGCTAGACGAATTTCCCTACGGGCTTGCTTCGCAAGACGAAAACGTCTTGCGCTTTTTTTTTTAAAGCCGCTTGAAGAGGCACGGTTGCGACGGACCGTGCTTCGCAAGACGAAAAACATTGCAAGACGAAAAGACTCGTGGAACGAATTCTTTTCGTCTTGCGAGGCACCACTGTATATGTTTGCTCATGAGACAACTTTTTTGCATCAGAAATTATCCTCGGATGTACCTTGAAATTCCTGAAATTAGGAATAGGTAGATACAGAACCTGTGCTCCTTGAGGTGTTGGACTTACACCTCCCATCTTTCCTGACAATTGTCCATGCTGAAAGAAGTTCCCCGTCTCTGCCTTGAACCCATTCTGAGGAAGTGTAGTGTAGTGCTTGGGGGTGTCTGGGTTCAAATCTTCATTCAGACATGAAGCTCACTAGGTTTCCTAGGCCAGTCGCCAATTCTCAGCCTAACCTACTTCACAGCCTGTTGTGAGGATATTATGGTGGAAGAAGGCACATATATGCCATCTTGAGCTCCATGAAGGAAAGGTGGAATATAAACGCAAAAATAAATGCATGAAATGAAATCTTACTGTCTGTTTTTAGTTATATAATTATGAATTTTAAAACAATCAGATTACAGTGGTGCCTCGCAAGACGAAATTAATCCGTTCCACGAGTCTCTTCGTCTTGCGGTTTTTTCGTCTTGCGAAGCACGGCTATTAGCGGCTTAGCGGCTATTAACGGCTTAGCGGCTTTAAGAAAAAGGAAACAAACTCGCAAGAACTCGCAAGACGTTTTGTCTTGCGAAGCAAGCCCATAGGGAAATTCGTCTTGCGGAACGACTCAAAAAAACGGAAAACCCTTTCGTCTTGCGAGGCATTCGTCTTGCGAGGCATTCGTCTTGCGGGGCACCACTGTATGTCCTCGTGGTCAAGCTTACAAGTGTACAATCCATTTATATTGGACAAGCTTGCATCACTACTTTAATAAAAAAAAGTCAGGAGACATGAAATGTCAATTGCTCTGATATGAGGCACTATAATGTAAATAGTTTTCCCATTTTGCAAGTATAGTTGGTTGGCACTATACAACTATTCAGTGCATGCCAGGAAAGAGGAGACTTAAATAAAACTCACTTTCATATGCTGAAATGTGAGAACTCATCTCTGCAACCCGAGTCATGAATTGATGCAGTTGTGAAATTGATTTGAAATGGTTAACAGAAAACAAAATGGTATTAAAATGTGTATTATGTGGCTCAGAATGGTGGAATGCACAATGTTTTATTACCCTTTTGCAA